AGCTTTTATTAGAGACAGGCTTATGTGCTCCGACTTATTTCTCCCATCCTACCTCTTCCCCCACCCATTAGATCTGCCTCACAGATTGCTATTTTGCTGCTTATTTCTTACCTCCTCATTTTATCACTCAGAGGCATGGCTCCTCAACAAATGCGTTGCTGTCTCAAGTTTGTCTTAGCATTTACTTCATGGAGACCCACCTAATAAGGGATTAGTATTAATGATTTGGCAAGGGGAAATGATTCAGAGTCTAGTTCTATTACATTCGACTATCTTCTGTTTTTATTCTTTTCCTGTTTGTTTGATCCAAAGCCAAAAATATTTTTCTGCTCTTATTGTCCGTCTATCACAGGAATATTTTAGCCATTTTCTGAATCTTGAGGTTGAAGGAACATAGATTTGGCCCATCAACCCTTCAAGAGGGCTCACCCCTTAAATGCCTCAGAGAACTTTTCTCAATGGAAAGTACCTTCCAACCTCCAAAATCTTCAGGAAAAACTACTCAGGTTTTTGATGAAGATCTTTCTCCCACATGGCAGGAAAAATTCCCAGCTTTGATGTTAAGCAGATTGGCAGACTGTCTGATCTTCTTGGGGTGGTGGTAATGAACGACTCTCCCCCTCACCCTAGGAGCCATTGATTTCTCTAGGCATGTACTAGCCATACCACCTTCTTGGGATAAATTAGGCCGGTGCTTTCCACTGGAACATACACAACTCCTGGAGCAGAGCACGGAGTCTTCTGGCAATGGACAAGGGTGTGGCATCTTGTGATTTTGCTTATAGCCCTATTCCAGTTGGTCATCCCACTCTGTCCTATGCTGCCCCTTTGTGCACAGAAACAACCCCCTCACCCCGCTTCTGTTCCCCCCCCCCATCATTATGCCACCTGTTTTCTCAGTATATTTTATCTGTATAAAAACGTTCCCATCTCTGGATTTTCTGGTTCTTTTTTTTTTTCTTTTTGGGTCACAGCCGGCAATGCTCAGGGGTTACTCCTCGCTCTGTAGTCAGGAATTACTCCCGGCAGTGCTCAGGTGACCATATGGGATGCTGAGAATTAAACCCGGGTCAGCTGCGTGCAAGGTAAACACCCTACCCACTATGCTATTGCTCCAGCCCCTGAATTTTCTGTTTCTTGAGAGCCAAAGAACATGACTGTCTGTAACAATCTCAGGCTGATGTATTAGACCCCAACGGAATGTACTGAATGTGAGCTGCGATGTATGCTGAAGAGGAAAGGAACCCACACTGAGATCCGATATTTTTCTCCTTTGCAGAATTTTCCTTTTTTTCTTATATGTTTGTTGCTTTGAACAAGGATTTTTCCTCTCTTCTCCCCCTCTAATTCCCTTCCTCTCTTCTCTTTAAACACTTTTCATGTGCATTTGAAATCACCTGTGTTAAGGCAGAACCTCTCCAATTCCATATCTGCCTATTCAATACATTCACGGACATGTTTGTTTTGGAAGTCTCACAGCTGTCTCTAACATAATAATTTCTTTCAAACTAAGCCTCCAGTTTTAACTTATAAAAGATGGTTACTCGATCAAATAATCAGGGACTCTAAATTCAATTGATAGTTTTCATTCTCCCTCAACCCTCACATCTAATTTGGGAGTAGTGTAATCTCCATTCTGCTATGCATATTTTTGTCTGATCTATCACCTCCTTTCTATTCTTCAGAAAGACACAAGGTAAGGTAAAGGTAAAGGTAAAAGCCCTCCCGTTGATCATCGATTTGCTGGAGCGGGCCAAGTAACGTCTCCATTGGAGACTTTTTTGTTACTGTGTTTGGCATATATATGTGTTTGGCATATCTCGTGCGGGCGAGATACTCTCGGTAGCTTGCTGGGCTCTCTGAGAGGGGCGGAGGAATCGAACTTGGGTCGGCCATGTTGTCTGCGTGCAAGGCAGACGCCCTACCGCTGTGATAGAAAATAGAAAGAGATGAGTTTTCACAAGTGCTTTCTATATTAGAAACAAGTAGGAATAAATAAAAAAGAACCAAAAGTTCAGGAACAAGAGTGAGGAAAATTGTGAGCTAAATGGCATCTGCACCTGTAAGGTCTGAGAGATGAACAAATAATCCTGTGTCATTTTGATGACAGAAGCACCCATAACTTGCTCTTACACCTGGGAGAAAATCAGATAGATTAAGTAGTACTAGAAGGAGTGAGATAGGTGCTAAGTAAGATTTTTTTTTTTTTGCTCTTTGGGTCACATCTGGTGGTGCAGGGGGGTTACTCCTGGCTCTGTACTCAGGAATTACTCCTGGTAGTGCTCAGGGGACCGTATGGGATACTGGGAATCGAACCTGGGTCAGCCGCGTGCCAGGCAAACACCCTACCTGCTGTGCCATCAATTCAGCCCCCACTAAGCAAGATTTTTGAGGACAGCAACAACTACATAATAATGAGATCATGAAAGGATAAGAAATTGCGTCCTTGCATGATCAGTTGTATCAAACCATAAGCCCACATCTGTTACTAAAATATTATGAATTTGCTGGTAGGAGTAAGAGGAATCAGAGGGAAACATCCCTGCTTTGGCATGTATATATAAACCCTTTTTGTATATTGGAGAATATTTTTATGTATGCCTTACTATTCTCCTGAGACATTGTTCTGTAGGTATAAATAAATAAGCCTATATGTCTGCACCATGTCTTGATTTGACATTGCTGCAATAACAGATCCTAGTCTGAGAAATGCAAAACTCTTATTTTGTAGTGTTGGAAATACAAAGAACTACGAATGACATTTTTCCAAAAACACAGTTGGGCATTATCCGGTTTCATGTTAGTAGATGAAAATGTTGTTGGTCTAACTATTTTAAACTGTTTTACTTTGCTCATACCAAAGGTAGATAGACATATTAAAACTGGTACCTGACCCCTAGAAAGTCTCAACAACATATTTGCTTTTAGATTAATTATCTGGAGAGAGAAATTATTTGGGAGAGATGCTCGCCTTATTTGTCACCAAGCCCCATTCAATCCCTGGCACCATATATTTTCCCATATGACCTTAGGAGTGATACCCAAACAATAAGCTGACATACCTGCTCAGCACCTCTCGGTGTGGTCCTCTGACCAAAAAGAAGTAAATTAATAACCAGTTAAGTTAAATGATTAATCTAGAAAAGGATGAAATAATTGAGTAAGAAATCCTAGAAGGGAGTCGGGTCCCTAAGAAATACAGGCTTGTGTTTTTCAAATTCTGAAAGACCTCATTCTCGTATAAGCCAGGAAAAGACATTTTTACTTATAAAGCTTACTTAGAAACTGCATGAACTTTTATGAGGCGGATTCACTTCCTTTCTGCAGTAAAGCCACCCCAAGGATTCTACCTGAAGCACACTTTTCACTCAGCACTTAATCAGTTCATTTTGAGTATGTCAGGCTGCTCGGGGATCATACTCTTAGATTTCTTGAAGCTCTTTTATTTAGCTGAGACAACCTTTCAGACCTCAGGAATTATTTGAAGTGTTTTCACAAGCCGTCTTATACAGCATCCTTGATTTGATAGTTTTGTTGAGGCCATGTTTTTCTGGCAAAGCTCTGGATTTGACCTTTCATAAGAGTGAAAGATTGAAAGACTGCAGTTGAGAAACTGTTCTCTTCACTTAATTTTTTTCCCTCTCTTTTATGTGTGTGTGTGGGGGGGGGTGCGGTGGGTGTGGGCAGTACTTGACCAGTAGATTAGATAGTTCACACTTAGGCCTAGCAATTCGGAAGGCCACTAAGGGAATCTAGTCAGTGATTTAGGCCCCCAAAGCTACATCTACTAGTGCCAGGAGGGAGGGTGGGGTAGGTGGGAGGCAGGTTATACAGTGCCTGGAATTGGACTGGGTCTTTGTACATGCCAGGAACGTGTTCCTGACCACTGAGCAACCTTCTTGGGACACATTTTATTTTCTTTCACAAATTGAAATTTATCTGTTGTTTGAAATATTTCTTTCAGGTAGTGCTTTACCATTAAACTATTAAAAGCCAGGCATCATTATTCTGTCTAGAAATGTCATTACATATATCTAAAAGTCACTTCAGCATATTTTCCATTGCCCTCCTTGCTTCAAGTAAAGTTGTTATCACTATTTTTTTCCAGAGAGCATGGCTGATTATTTGTTTCATTGTTTTTGTTCTGGGGCTACACCCAGTGGTGCTTAGGGCTTACTTCTGGTTCTGCATTCAGGGATCAGCAGGCTTGGGGAAACATATGGTGTGCTGTGGCTTTAACCTGAGTCAGCCAAGTGCAGAGTAAGTGCCCTGCATTCTGTACTCTTTCTGGTCCCCCTGGTTGATCATTTTTATGGTCTCTTGTAACCATTTGTTCTATCAGAGTCTTTCTAGATTTCATCTGCAACCCAGTACCAAAGATAAGGCCATATATTTTGGTCCTATGCTAGAGCACAAATTATTTCTCTATAGTAGTTTCTTTCTTATCATTCCATGTTTTTCTTACCTCTTTCAAGCAATCTAGGTTGAATTTATTCTTATGACCATGGAAAATTTACAACAAACTAAGTAGAAATAAAACGCTTTTTCAGACTTCTGCTGACTCCAAATTTTCTAGCATCCACTTGACCAAAATGTCATTAAGACAAGTCCCAACTACAGGAATTTAGAACTGAACCCATCCAATCAATGAGCAGAATGGTAGTGCAAAGTGCATGGCAATTAACAGATTGTTGGAATAATCAATGAAATCAGTTTACTATTCCTGTTTTTTTTTAAATTTAGATATTTATATGTAATGAAAGAGCATTGAAATAGGATAATGGCTTTCAGTGTGTTGATCAATGTTTCATATTTGATTTATTAAGCCATATTATATCGCTTTTCTTTCAAAATCACATGGTTTCAAATAGGTCTTATAGATATCATCAATAAATCTGTGGCAATGGTACCAAAGAAAGATCAGCAGTGCATGTGAAGTAGTATATTTCAGTGCCTAAGACCAATAAATTAATAAAATCTCTGTTTCTTTTATTCTTCAGGTGATATCTGTGATCCCAATCCATGCAAAAATGGAGGTTTGTGTTTGTCAGAATTGGCGGGCAATGCTTACACCTGTGAGTGCCCAGATGGCTTCACAGATCCAAACTGCTCTAGCATTGTGGAGGTTGGTAAGTGCAAGATTTTACCATTTCAGTAATTACCCTCTTTATTTTTGTGGATCACTGATGAATTTTACTACGGTGTATACAGTATACTGTATGATTGCAATGTATTCCTCATTTTATCATTTCACATTTAACTGAAATTATGTTTTAATTAATGATCCCATCAAAAATTTTTAAAGGTGTTCAAGTAATTGACACTGTACTTTAAAAACACTACAAGTAGTACTTGAGTGTAATATATTTATTATCTAATATTAATATGTATTGAAATTCAGTCTTGGGAAATAAATCCCATGTTATTTAATTCAAATTTAGTGCTGTAAAATAAAATTTAACTTTTTAAAGCAACCATATGCCTCAGAATTATGTAGCTACTCTAACAGATACTTTCAGAAGAAATTTTCTGAGATCAGTGTTCTTCAAAGTCTTTCAAAATGTTTGCTCTGGAGGATCGGGCCTGAGAGCTAGCTCAAAGGTCTGGAGTACCTTTGCATATGCGAAGCTGTGAGATTGATCCTGGCACTATGTTAACTCCAGTCCTAGAAGTGAGGGTATAATTCTGGCCAGTCCCAAACCTGTTTAGCATTGTTGGGAGGAAGCCATGAGTCTCCAGAATTACTGCAGATCTCTACCCCTAATAAAGTTTGCTTTGAATATTGATTAATCAATTATTAATATTTAAAATATTTTCTTAACTGTAAAGTGCTTCAGTAATATATACAGATATATATATATGTATATATATATATATATATATATATATATATATATATATGGGCTGGAGCGATAGCACAGTGGGTAGGGCGTTTGCCTTACACGCAGCCAACATGGCTGACCCGAGTTCAATTCCTCCACCCCTCTCGGAGAGCCCAATAAGCTACCGAGAGTATCTCGCCCGCAGGGCAAAGCCTGGCAAGCTCCCCGTGATGCATTCAATATGCCAAACACAGTAACAACAAGTCTCACGATGGAGTCATTACTGGGCTTGCTTGAGCAAATCGATGAACAGTGGGAGGACCATGGTGTGATATATATATATATATATATATATATATCATATATATATATATCATTCCAATTTTAATATATGTGCTGCCAAAGTGAGCACACACACACACACACACATATATACATATATATATAGTGCTATTTATATATAAAGTGCTACAGTAATATATTCAGGATAACTCCATGATTTCCAAATAGTTTCCCATTAAGGAAGAATAGCTGCAGTTCATTAAAAAATGTAATTATGTAAATATATGGAGTTTTTTCTCTTTTATTAAAATAAAGCTAGTACCAAGGTTTGAAAAAAGTTACACTTTTTCTCACATTAATTCTAGGAGTATAGATTGGACTGGTTCCTTTTGGTATAAGAAAGCCAAGTATGTTTTGAATTATTGTTCTATCAACCAGCTTCTAGAAGCTTGGTGATTTCAATAAGCTTTGAAATAAAATTATGTTGTCTTTCACCTTATTTAGTATCTTTTACAAAGTAGGAGCTCAAGATCTATTGGTTAAATGAATGAAAGAAAAAATAAAACCTTCAAGTTGCCATGTGTGGCTACTGACTACAGGATTTTAGCGTACTTCATTTGTTTTAAAAATGTCTTTTCTGGAGCCAAAGAGAGTACAGTGGGTAAAGTGCTTGTCTTGCATGAAGCTGACTTGGGTTTGACCCCTGATATCTCATATGATCTCCTGAGCAATGCCAGGAGTGATTTCTCAATGCTGAGACAGGATACCCCTGAGCATCACCAGGTGTGGCCCAATAACAAAAAATAAATGAAAAACCAAATATCTATAAATAAATAGAGCAAATATGGACCTTGCACACAGCTAACCCCAATTTGATTTCCATGCTGCATGTGGTCCCTGATCTGAGTATGCCAGGAAACATCCCTGAGCACAGAGTCAAGAGTAAGTCCTAAGCACTGCCAGGTAAGGGGCCAAAACTAAATAATAAATGAATAGATAATTAGAAAAATAAAAAAAGTCTTTTTCTTGATTTACAATAGTTTGAATTTTTCATAGCTGTAGCACTGTCGTACTGTTCATCGACTTGCTCGAGCGGGTCCAGTGCCATCTCCATTGTGAGACTTGTTACTATGTTTGGCATATCAAATACGTTGCGGGGAGCTTGCCAAGCTTTGCCATGCAGGCAAGATACTCTCGGTAGCTTGCCGGGCTCTCCTAGGGGGTGGAGGAGTTGAACCTGGGTCAGCCAGATAGGCCATGTTCAAGGCAAATGCTCTACCGCTGTGCTATCGCTCCAGCCCTTTCACAGCTAAAAGATCTAGTTATTTTATTGTAAAAAGACAGTTTGTTCATTTAATTCATTTCAAAACCAATAATCTTTGAGGCTTTTATTAACACACTACTATTTTAGGAATCTGTTACAGTACCATTGTAGTAAAACTGTGTAATACTTTGAACTAGTCTCCAAATATGTACAGTGATTTTCAGAGTTTAATATGAGAATCATATTTCAAGGAAGTCAACATTGCTGAGGAAAATTATAATTATAAATATTCTTAATAGAAATGTATGATTAGAATAAAGAATCTGTTATATTTTAACCCTACTAACCTCAAATTGATGGTGCCTATATTTATACTATATAATTAAACATTTTACTGTAGCACCATGAGTTTATAACTGTATTTTAAGTATATGGCATTATAACACAACATCTGGAAGCCCATTTAGACTCACCAACCAAATTCATCTACCCCCATACAGTTGAGCTAATTTACCTGATTTTTCCAGCCTCTCCTCCTTTTCTGTCTGGTAATCACACATTTTGCTTGTGTGTGTGTGTGTGTGTGTGTGTGTGTGTGTGTGTGTGTGTGTGTGTGTTTGTGTTGGGGGTGGCGGCAATTTTGTATTGTTTTGTTTTTTCTCATTGCTACTTTTTTAAAAAATGAAGCAATATTTTTCAGTGAAGTGGAGTAGTTTTATTGAAGTAATTTAATTAAAGAGAAAATAGGGGAGTAAAAGAGAAAAAATATTTTTTCCAGAGAAAATTAGGGTTCTTCGGAGTGGGAAAAGCAGAATATGGCTTTTGAGAGAAAGTTTTACACCTTCTCTGCAAATTATCTTGTCTTGGAGTTCTCTGTATATACAAAAGCTAATCTGGGTGTTGTCACATTTTAATGACCAGTTCTTATTCTTATCAGGGCTTTTTAAGTCTCCTGTAGCTGCTCTTCTGCTGAAGAGGCCCACCCATCTCTGAGTAGTGCCTCAGTTTCTGCTTTGTGTAATACATTTTTCTGAAAGAGCTCAAGATTTGCATCTCAAAAGGAAGATGCTCCTCATTCCTTTGGGCTCCTTCAGGGCTAGCTGATTTCTTGTTTTATTTTTTCCTGAAAGCTCATTATCAGCCCTGTTTCTCCATGTAGAACATTTCTCCCTAGAGATTTCAACCCCTTAAATATTTAAGGGATTCATGGATGAAAGCCCAGAGAACATGGATCTGCCTATGTAGGCAGAGAACATGGATCTGCCTATGTGAGGAAATGAAATCTCAAGCTTAGTGTTAATGGAAACCAGGTAATGATTATTTGGTTTCAGCATTATCAGTCTGAAGAAAAGTAAATCAGAAAGATTAGACATTAAAACAACAACAACAAAAACTATTAGGCCCTGGAAGAGAAGGCTTTCCCTGGTCTAGGGAGAGCAAATTTTTTTTTTTTACTTTTATTTGAAGACCCCAGAAGAGCTATTTTGTAAGAGTCAAATTCAAAATTAAATTGCCTCTTGAATTTTTATATAAATATGTGAATACTTTGAACCATATTTTAAGCCTTAATTTACATTCCCCATTTGGAAAACAAAACTTTAAATTCATTGTTATTTAGGAAAGGAGATGGGACTTTATAGGATTTTAAGATATCAAATACTTATAAAACTTTTAATTAGATTCATTATTAAAACATTTCTGATAATCAGAAGTAGATATTTTTACTATATTACCTTAATCTTTATCATTTTATGATATTTTTAAAGCAACCTCAATCTTTCTTGAGGTATACTTAGGAATGTTTGGGAGAAATATCTTAAGTATATGTTTTCAAGATAATTTAACCTAACATAATCAATTTGAATTTAATGTCTTGGTTTTAATGGCATTAAAATAATTAAAATAACATGTTCTAAAGTTTAAAGTATTCATAATTTCTTAAATATCAAGGACATTTAAAAAATATTCATTTCAAGTATAAGAAAATAGTGATCCAATTCAGTATCCAAGTTATATGTGTGTAAAACAGAAACTTTTACTTAATTGCTTTTCTACTATTTTCTCTAACCACACATTTTCATGAATATAAGAAGAGAACTCTTATCCCTCTCGGAGAGCCTGGCAAACTACCGAGAGTATTCTGCCCACATGGCAGAGCCTGGCAAGCTATCCATGGCGTATTCAATGTGCCCAAACCAGTAAATACAATGGGTCTTATTCCCCTGACCCTGAAGGAGTCACCAATACGCAGCTTTGAGAAGGATATGGAAGGAGAGGCTGATAAAATCTCAGTCGAACTAGGCTGCCAAAATGAAGAAAGACAAAAATGACTGTACTTTAAGTGCACGTAGGCTGGCATCAGATGCATCCATCGAGGACCTGATGGTACAAGCGCGAAAGATCAAGTAAGACATCATTGGTCTTACCGAGAAGAGAAGGCATCAATCACGTCATGCTGTTTTCGACACTGGAGAAGAACTGTTCCTCGGAACATGTGAGAAAAGAGGCATTGGTGGTGATGGTGTCCTTATCAACACAAACTTGGCCATGAGCATCGATTCATTTGAATGCATAACAACCCCAAAACGGACAATTACACTTGAATAGATGTGGCTCACTGCAGGCATTTTCTATCTTCGTTGTCTGTGCACCAACATCCAATTATGATGAAGGAGAAACTGAGAAGTTCTACATGGAGCTGGAGAAGTTCTATAAAGAAAGACCACACCTTCTACAAGATCATTGTTAGTGCTTTTAATGC